CTTTGCTACCTGTTACTTACGTGTCAGTCTTAATAGAGCACTTTCCCTACTATGACTGAACCCCAGTCTAAGCTGGCCCCTCTCTGCCTTCCCAGTATATTCTTTTAAATCTTATGATATATTTGTAATTACACTCATCACATAATTTAATGATTTTCCATGAATTAGTGTATTTCCTTGATGCATCTTCTCCACCAGACTGGGAACTTCAAGAGATCAAAGACCACGTGTGTCTAGCTTAACACCGTGTTGGTACAAGTTAGCACTGTGACTGACGTAGGGTAGATACATAAAAGCAGTATTTTGTTAAGGAATGATCACGCATTTATTGACTTTTTACTCTAAGACAGGTATTGTACTAGCCATAATTCTGCAGTGAAGAAAACAGACCATCCTTTTGGTTTTTCATAAGTGCGTTGTCTTCCCTCTGTCCATCTGTCTGTCCCTCCCTCCCTCCTTCCTCCTTTCCTCCCTTCCTTCTTTCCTCCCTTCCCAGTTTTCCATGAGTCAGTTGATTTTTGTCAACAGGCTTTCTTCTTTAAGCCTCAAGATGATGTCTAGAACACAAATAAACTCTAATTCAGGAGGAGAGCTTGTGTTCTCCACCCTTACCCTATCTGAGCTCAGTCTTCCATCAGTTTTCTTCATACCCACGCATGCCCACCATTTGTTTCTCTCACTTCAGCCATGGCCCTCTCTGTAATTCACCTCGTCTATTTAATCCTGTCCCACTCCCTGAAGCACTTCGACTCCACTTATCAGCCAGTATACTGTTTCCTTCCCTCAGCTACGTGCCCCCACCCCGGACACTCCTGATGTAGCTCTGCCAACCCCTCCGCGTCGTAAACCGCGCAGAGCCCGACTTCATCTGTTGGTTCAGGATCAGTTAGCAGATGAAGGTCAATCTTGAAGCTTTTCCTTTTATTGTTGGTGTCTCTAAAATGCATCACTGGAAATATTTCTTTTACTGCTGTTTCTTTGACACAGAAACCTCTCCTTGCTGTAAATTCAAATTCTTTTCTCTACACTTACTAGTTGGCTAATTTTATCGATTCACCAACTCTCTTAAGCCTTAATTTTTTTTTCTTCCCTA